TTTTTTTTATATGATCACTCATATGTTGGGCTGGGGATTGATAGAGATTTCATAATTCCATTTGATTCACAAGCTCTTAATTCATTTCTGATCTTGATTCAATTCAGTTTGATTCACAATTATTCTTATTTTCTTATTCTGATTCCAGTTTCCATATGATTTAATTGGATTAAAATATTTCTGAGAATTTGATGACAGCCATTTATGTACCTTGATTTAGTATTCATTTTGGTTATAATCCTGTATTCTTCAAGAGTACTTCTAGATCGACTCAAAAGCCTGTTTTGCTCTAATATTTTCAAACAATACAAATGTCACAGTAGCTGATACACACTGATATTCCTTGGATCAAGAGCTGTCGCACTGACGAAAAATAATGATTCTTCTTTTTCTCTCTTTTACTTGTTTCAACACGAGCTAACTACACCCCAAAGGCTATTTTAGGAGCCACAGCACTGAGCATCTTTGGCTTTGTAAGTATGTTTTAACTATCAGACACAGTATGTGACATTAGATTAACTGCAGCTATGACAGAAATGTTTTAATATAATAATAATAATTAAAGAGATGTTATATATATATATATATATATATATATATATACAGTATATATGATCAAGCATCCCACACCTGATATATGCAATATCTCTCTGATGTTTCCTCTTTTCCTCTCTTTTTCTTGTGTCAGCAGGAGCCAACTACACCCCAGAGACTCTTTTAAGGGCCACCTAGAATCACGGCACCTTTGGCTTTGTAAGTTTATTTTTTATTTTTTATATGATCACTCATATGTTGGGATTGATAGAGATTTCATAATTCCATTTGATTCACAAGCTCTTAATTCAGTTCTGGATTTAATATTTCTGAGAATTTGATGACAGCCATTTATGTACCTTGATTTAGTATTAATTTTGGTTATAATCCTGTATTCTTCAAGAGTACTTCTAGATCTACTCAAAAGCCTGTTTTGCTCTAATATTTTCAAACAATACAAATGTTACAGTAGCTGATACACACTGATATTCCTTGGATCAAGAGCTGCCACAACTAAAAAGATATTTTAAAACACTGCCAAAAAAAAAAAAAAGTTCAAACTTTAAGTTTGAAGGACCATTAAGTGACTCTTTAATGTGATTGTACATTCAGGCAATTAATGGAGTTCCCTGACAAGGATGTGCAAAAAAGCAATACTGTTTAAACAGTACTATACTGGGAATAAGGTAATGAATATATTTAATAGTGACAGTGAATAAAAAATATACTGTTGTACATGGACTCAGGTCACTTATTTGGAATTTATTAAATTCAATGGGATTCATGTAAAATATTCAAAGGTTTTATAAAATAAATAGTGTAAAATAAATTACAGTAAAATTACTGTAATATTATTATACTGTAAAACTAAGTTACAGTAAGGATATAGTACTGTAAAATTAAGTTGCGGTAAGGGTATTTTACTGTAAAATGAAATTGCGGTAAGGCTATCATACTGTAAAATGAAATTGCGGTAAGGACATTTTACTGTAAAATTAACTTGCGATAAGCTACTGTAAAGAGGTAGTTGCAGTAACTTACTGGCAATAGTGCTGCCAGTAAGTTACCGCAAAAATACAATAAAAAGTCTAACAGTTTATGTAACTCAGATGAATACAATGCATATGATGCATATACTCTAAATGTCCCTCCAAGCACTGAATTAATTGAACTGAATTAATCCTTAAACTACATTTGGTGCTCTATTTTTTAAAGGCATGAGTGGTGGCCCTGGCTTACATAAGTACACTATGCGCACATCCTGCTAATCAAATCTAGCACCATGCTAAACCAATGCTAGCAACAGTCGAGCTACAGGTACATTAGGCTGATTCTGACCAAAGACACTCATCAAGAATGAATGAACACACTCCTAGATAGTCCATGAAATCCACAAAGGTCTCATAGCCTTAAAGGGGTCATATGATGCTGCTAAAACGAACATTATTTTGTGTATTTGGTGTAATGAAATGTGTTTATGCAGTTT